AACTAGAATTTCAGCTGTTTCGTTTAAAGTCATCATTTCGTAAGTTCTAAGGTCGATACAATGTCCTTGTCAGCGAATACAATTTATCATTGAGTCAAATGTTGACTGACGTTTGTCATACTAATTGTTAGCCCATTATTTTTACATTGAATTGACGACGGATTTTCCCGTTATTTTCTGATCATGACAAGGAGCACACAAAGGGGTCGGCAGGGGATGCTTACTCTTCCATGGCACCTGATCCCACCTCCAATGTTTTGGGGGTCTGTGTTTGCTCTGCTTCTATTTTGTATTGTTTAGTGGACTTTTGATCTTGAATACTGTTCGTTATCCCCATATGTTTCATTTGACATGATAAGATCACATTTACAGAGTAATGAATATAATTTCTTTAGCTATGCAGAATTATTACACTTTAGTTTTGTTCAATGAAATTAATAGGTCCATTTACGAGGAAACTTTCAAAAAATGGTACAAAACCAACAACAAATACACTGTTCTTGTATTTACAATTGCAGGTGACAGAAAGCTTAATTTGGTCATACGTTTGATTATGTTCAGTAGGGTTACTGTCTCATCAGAAAAGATTGGACAAGCACATCCAATGCAATCGTGTGTTCACAAACTATGTATAAGTTATTTGGATTAGCATAGTCGATTCAGAATTGGGAAGCTTTTAGCTTAGACTTTAGGCAACAGTTTTTCTATGAAAAGCATTTAGGTTTGGTTACTCATTTGAATACTCTGAAAATCCCATGGGGAACCCTCTGCCCCCCCCCCCCCCCCGATTTATCCACCAATGACATTGTCTGTGAAAACATTTCAAATTGGTTACCCATGTGTTTTTCTTATTACAGATGTATTAATAAAGTATTTTTTCGGTATAGGGTTTGGGAGGAAACACCAAGGTTGTATATCAACTTAGAAAAGAAAGGAACTAAGCCGGTAAGTTGTTGTTAGAGCTGGCTGTGCTCGCTAAGAATTTTTGATTTCAGTGAAAGGATTTGTTACATGTAGTAAATCTGGAATACAGTTGACTGTAGTTTTTTCAGAACTCTTCACTTAACATTTCGGTCCTTTATCAATAAAAATTGTACAAGTGTAGACTTAACCAAGGTATACGATTTTATTTTTATTTTCTTGAAATAAATGGTGTTTCCATGACTTCAATATAATAAATATCTTTAATACTTCATTGAAATTGTTTTTTCTACTGTTTTGGTACAATTTCGATAAGGCTTGGTACACAGGTATACAATATCAGGATACATAATTTTATTTTGATTAATGATGCTGAAATTCGATTATCAAGGTTATAATTATCTGAAATTCATGAAAGTACTTCTTGTCCTACACCTTCGATTTGACTCAAAATTAATTTTGTTACAAGTTCAGAAATTATCAAGGTATATAATTCAGTAGATCCCTTACCACAAAAACTGGCAATAAATGATCTACTTTAAAGATTTTATGAAATCAAATCCGTGCTCTTATTGTCTGATCAGATATGTTTTTTCCCAGACTAATGGATTTGCTATGTTAATGTTTGGAGGGGTTTTTAAATTTGATGATGAAGATAACCATAGGTAAGTATAACTCAGTATACAGTTGTATAAAACAACTAGGAACAATAGGGCAGATTCTTAAGGGTTTTTTTAAATTATGAATCAGTATTTGGCTAATCCTATTCATAATGTCTTTATATGTATGAAAACATTTGCATTTAGGACAAATCACAAACTTGTTTGATATAATATTATATTACTCTCCCCGTTCTTTGCCTGACTTATCCCTGCCAATCCTTATATGGCCCAGATGACAAGCCATTTGATAAATATAATTAAGACCCCCTCCCTCGTTTTTGACCAAAAAAAAAAAAACTAAAATCACCGAATTTTGAATAGTTAATAACATCAAAATAAACGACTTTTCTACACAAGCTTCACAAGATGCTGAAAGTAAAACCATCATAGTAAAGATAAAGCAGTTTGAGGTGTGGACAGAAGTAACGGAAATCAAAAGGCAGGGAAAGGTTGTGTCCAAAAAAAAAATTATAAAAGTTTGTTTTTTTTATTTGGATCAATCACTACTGTAAACCCAACTTTTATTCGCGCCGACTTTATTTTGCGATTTACCGGGGTTAAACTTGTTTTGGACGATTAATTTTCGGGATCAAGCCTTTTTAGCTCACCTGAGCCAAAGGCTCAAGTGAGCTTTTCTGATCACATTTTGTCCGGCGTCCGTCTGTCTGTAAACTTTTCACATTTTCGACTTCTTCTCAAGAACCGCTGGGCCAATTTCAACCAAACTTGCCACAAAGCATCCTTGGTTAAAGGGGATTCAAGTTTGTTCAAATGAAGGGCCACGCCCTCATTCAATGGGAGATAATTGGGAATTAATGAAAATTTGGTGGTATGTTTTAAAAATCTTCTTCTCAAGAACCACTGTGCCAGGAAAGATGAAACTTATGGGGAAACATCCTCAGGTAATGTAGATTCAAGTTTGTTCAAATCATGACCCCCGGGGGTAGGGCGGGGCCACAATGGCCGACCAAAATTTTACATAGAAATATATAGGAAAATTCTTTAAAAATCTTCTTCTGAAGAATAAAAAAGCCATAATTGATCATATTTATATGGAAGCATCCTCAGGTAGTGTCGATTCAAGTTTGTTCAAATCATGACCCCTGGGGGTAGGGTGGGGCCACAATGGCCGACCAAAATTTTACATAGAAATATATAGGAAAATTCTTTAAAAATCTTCTTCATAAGAATAAGAAAGCCATAATTGATCATATTTATATGGAAGCATCCTCAGGTAGTGTCGATTCAATTTTGTCCAAATCATGACCCCCGGGGGTAGGGCGGGGCCACAATGGCCGACCAATGTTTTACATAGAAATATATAGGAAAATTCTTTTAAAATCATCTTCTCAAGAATAGGAAAACCATAACAGGTCAAAGGTTTACTTTTGGATTTAAACTCTTCAATAATAAACCAATTTCTACTTTTTTCCTAGCCACAGTGCTCGGGTGAGCAATGTGGCCCATGGGCCTCTTGTTTGGTATCTGTTGTTGATCGGTTCGCGACGAGAAATATTCGTGATGTCGAGGCTCTCGCGAAAATTTCTCGCACGCAAATAAAAGTTGGTTTACAGTATTTGTTATGTTCAACTTTTATCTGCAAGTTCTTTTGTTAAATAGGACCCAGAATAATATCACTTCCCTAGATTATACCTTTAAGCATGCATCAGTCTTAATATTTTGTATATAAAGAACTCTGACTGTATATTTCTTTTTACCAACCATGAACTAATTCCAATGTCAAAATATTAATATATATATCTTGAAAAATATCATTTTTCCTTGAAAATTATACTGAACTTAATCAACGTGTGTATTGAAGGGATGTTTTCCTGGAGAATTCTTGTGATGATGATTGTTATAAATTGGCCGACAGGTTAGGATGGGGAGTAAGTTTTGTCAAAGATCTATTTCTTCATCCAAGTAGTTTATATTGTAACCAATCTGCTTTATGCTACCTAGTGTGTTTGCAAGGAAAGTATGTTAGAACATCGCTATGTTGCAAGCTGACCAGACATATTATTATTAGGAGTACACTAGCAGTAACATGCACACTGAAATACACATGTACTGAAGATACTAGTAACATGACTGTAACAAGACTACGAATATATTGTGATTTGGAGTATTGCAGGCTTTAACATACAGTAAACAATATTTAATATACTACATTAACATAAAACACATTGTCCCTTGTTTGAACATGTCTTAGAGTTAGAGTTAGGGTTATTATTAGGGCTAGAGTTAGAGTTAGGATTAGGGTTAATATTAGGGTTAGCATTAGGGTAAGGGTTAGTCTGCAAGGGTTAGGGTTAGAACTAGGGTTAGGGTTAAAGTTAGAGCTAGGGTTAGGGCTAGGGTTAGAGTTAGAGCTAGGGTTGGCATTATGGTTAAGGTTAGTCTGCAAGGGTAAGGGTTAGAGCTAGGGTTAGTCTGTATGGTTTAGGGTTAGAGCTAGGGTTAGGGTTAGGGCTAGGGTTAAGGTAAGTCTGCATGGGTTAGGGTTAGAGCTAGGGTAAGGGTTAGAGCTAGAGTTAGGGTTAGTCTGAAAGGGTTAGGATTAGCATTAGGCTTAGAGCTGTTATTACTAAAGTTCGGCTTTTAATTCAACTTCTTTTCTATTAAGAAAGTGAGCAACTCTTTATTTAAATCTCAACAGTTTTTTTTGTTATTTCTTTGCTTTTGGATGAGCTTAATTAAAGTAATAAACAATCTTATAGCAATGAAAATAAAAGTGAAGAACTCTTCAATTCTTAATTTGATACTTAAAGTTCAATTTTTATACTTCAGGATGAGCTTCGGAATAAAGTGGAGCAGGAACACGAAAGGATTGACAGTGAAAATACAAGACAGACAAAACAAATCAAGTCAAATTCATCTTCCAAAAGAATTGAGAGTGAAAATGCAAGACAAACAAAACAAATGCAGTCAAATTCATCTTCATCATGAAAAAGTAGTTTATCCCCATTTTTTAAAGAGTACTTCAACTTCAAAAAATACTTCAACTCCATCTTCAAGACGTACTTCAACATCATCTTCAAAAACAGAAAGTACTTAGTCAACTATAATGTCTTTACTGGTTAGGTGTAAATGCAAGAGTTTCTTGATGTTTTGGGGAATTAGCTATTGTACAGAACACATAAGTCTTTACTCTTTATGCACTGCACTGAGGCAGAATCGATTTTGTAGATATTTAAGGAATAACTGTCTTATTTTTTGATTTCATGATGTGATCAATAGATTGGCTTGCGTGATGGGATAATTTATGCATAACGGGCGATGCCCGTTATGCAAATTATCCCATGTTTCCCACTATCGTTGATGCCCTGGCATACTATACTAACTAGACAGTGATTCCTTACATAACAGAAAACTTTATACCATGATGATCCAAAAAAAGAATTAAAACAAACGAAGCACCTTTTTGAACAACTTTATTGGTACTTTTAACACACAACATTATAACATTGGTCCTTATTAGTATGTAAGATTGGAAGAACCTTTTCTTTGTGCTGTCTGTATTATTAAAGCTGTCAGATGTAATAAAAATAGTATCTCAACAGGTGTAAAAAATGGGGGGTCTAAAATCGGGGGGCTTAAAATAAAACACCAACATAAAAACTGTAAAAAAAACCTTGTGAAAGAAAAACTTAATAATGTGCTATAAATATATGAATACGTGGTATCAATTTTTTTTAAATCTCTGTAAGAACTGTAGAGGAATATAACAGATATTTTGTTTTGCAGAGACGACAAATACGACTAATCTATTAAAATCATGATAGCAAAAATTTTAACAGCATAAAAACACAACAGAACATATCTATATAAAAAAGGATTTCATAAGGAACATGATTTACATTGTTAAGCATTGATTAATCTCAGTTTACAAATAAAAAGAGAAAAAAAAACAGACATAATCAAATATCTCCAAAGAACAAAAAAAATCCACCTGCCCCATCCCAAGAATACAAAAGTTCCCATTTATATTATGAAATACTGGAATCATAGAAATTAATAACGTATCTTATAGGAAGTACCATTAATATCCCATTTTGATTGAGAAAGAACCCATTTGTTTACAACAGCAAACAATCTACAGCCCTCATATGTTTTTCTAATCTGCATTATATTACCTGTTTAATATATCCAGGAAATCTGCTACATTAGGGTGCAAAAATAAAAACACTTGTAATAAGAACTTGGTTTTCACTTTTGCGGAAATAAATGCCATGACTTGTTTTTCTTCATTCCCATCATAATTTTCATTTCTCAAAATCTGGCACTTCACCCCCCCCCACCCCTTAATTATTTTTTGAAATAGTGCCTAAAATTTACTGCATGTCATCCAATGTTTTCAGAACCACTTGTATGTATATATAAATTACTGCTAGTATGCAAAATATTGTTTCAATTTCTGTAAGTCAACCTGCAGAATGATATATCTACTCTAATTAACAAGTAAGAAAATGTTGACTAGGTTATTTTCAGTATAAAATAGGTAATTATAAATAAAACTAGATGGATGGAACAAAGTAATTAAACTTTCTTAATTGATTATTTCTCAGTTAAGTAACCTAATAGTATTACATATCAACTTTTTATGTAAACAACAATAACATAACATTTTACCAGCAACCCCCCCCCTCCCCCTCCGAATTTGGTATTCTTCAAGGGTGGATGGAAACCGTGATTCAAGCACTCTCCTTTTTAGTTATTTTCACCAACTAGTCTCTTTACGGTCACCCCCCCCCCCCCAAAAAAAAATATTCATACAATTAAAACAGTCCAATATCTTTGAAATTGTTTTACTTCAGGAGAGGTGTTCTTCGGAACCTTGTAAAGTAGCTTATTTAAAAAAAAAATCTGAAAATCTTAATGAATCTTAACCTTATTTGATGAAAATTGACAGGATAAATTATTTGTTTTTAGATTGGTTGATTAAGACTATAACATCAGCTGTATGCAAAATACATCCCTACAAATAAAACCTCACCAAAGCATAAAATACTAAAGCAACCTTACACATAAGTATAATACCTGTTCTACCAGCTAAAAATGCAATCATACATTTTAAAATGATTTCTAGACTGCTGAATTCAATTACATCTCAATGTAACCAGTTACTTTCTCAAAAACCTTTTTCTCCATGAAAAAAGAAAATATACGGAATATTATAGGCCCAAAAAATAGGAATTTAGTAAAAATATTTTGTGACAAGAACAAGTGATTTTTCTATTGCTAGAACAATATTGCACCAAAGACAATATTTGGACATCCACAACAGAAATACAGATCTAACAGAATACAAAACAAAATTTACACAAAGTATTTTTTTGGCTGAAATAAGTTTCAAGATCTGATTGACTGACAACATGAAAACAGAGGTAGATTTATAAAAGATTTCTTGTTAACAGCAAGGACTACTGTTTTTTACAACTGCATTACTAAACTGACAACTTGAGAGTATACATATATTATTACTTTTCTTCAAAGAAAAAAAAAATATAAAGTACAAGGAATGGAAATTTTTTTTACCTAAATAATTCTTTATCTTAATACTGAGATTGCATTAATCTACCATTCTGTACAATTCTCTGGTCACATGACCATATAACTCCTCCCACCGAGTCACATGACCATATTACTCCACCCACTGAGTCACATGACTGTGTGAGTATGCTCTTCAAGTCATTCCACCGGTACATTAGAAAAGTTCATCGGTATGTCTCACGGACTCGCTCAGGTATCCGCCAAAACTCTTGCTACTGTTCCCGTGAAACGAGAACTGCTCAAAGTAGGGGAGTTCCCCCTCTTCATCAATGGCATCCAACTCATGCCTCATGCTCTCTGACAAATGTTCCTGGCCTGGTGGTGTTAAGATCGTGTTCTCACGGGCAAATTCATCAGGGATGTATTTTGTGTCCCAGGCACTCTTTACATCCGGTTTCCATGGGGGCTGAATCTATCAATGAAACATAATTAATCTTTTGAATTGTTTCTTTTCAATGACTTGCTCTTTATCCAGTTAAGATTGAGTGAGAAAAATATTTATGGAATAAATTTAATACCTATATAAGTTATATCACACTATTACATGTACCTGGGTTGGGGTAGTTTATGCTTCATATAAACTGCCAAGTGTAGGCAACACAGATTATATGATATAAACTAAATTTTTTAACCAATCAGCCAATCAGATGGTGCATTACAAACAGAGTAAAATTAAACAAAAGTAGATCCAGCCTTGGATTATCTTACTTTTTTTTGCCAAAGGGAAATACAAATCATTGTTATACCCTTATAAATATCATTCTATACATTTATTACTTATAAAAAGTCCAACAAAAGTACTGTTTTTTACATCGGTCTAACAATTTCACTATTGACCGGTCTTACATAAGAATTGTTAGACCGCAACGTCACTCGTCTGTTACGTCACAAGTAATTAATCATCGCGACGCGAAAATATCCGAAGTTAAGAGCTACAAGAGTAGTTGCTAACAGCAAGGTTAGGAAGAAGGGAAGAGTATGTTTTGTGATAAATAATTTTTGTGATTTTGTTCTTTCTCAGTTTGATGTTTAATATTTACTGAAGAAGCCATAATTTTCCATATAAAATAATTGATACTATAGCATGTATTGATTAAATTGATCAATTTTAAGTGAGCAGTGAAGGGTATAACAAAACAGTTATAGACTGGGATTCGGGCAACATATGATTTGTTGGACCTGAAGGTGAAAATGTTGCCCGAGGCCTTGGCCTGCGGCCTCGGGCAACATTTTCACCTTCAGGTCCAACAAATCATATGTTGCCCTCATACCCAGTCAATAACTGTATAATATTTGGACCTTTCAATTCTTTCTGAATCAATAGGTCCATCAAAGTACACATTTGAAACAACAAATATTACTAGTATCTGTTCAAAAAGATACTGAAATTTTTATTTCTTCTTCAACTATTTAAAATGTACTTACATGTAATACATAAACAATGATATAAAATCCTAAACAGTGTCAGTCTTTTTTCCCATCAATCCATCCATACTCCTAACACATTATTCTATTCTGGGTTTTTTTTTTTTGACTTGAGAATCAAAATCAGGCAGGAATACCTCTATACCTGTAGTCCAATTCAACCCCCTATCCCTACTACACAGAGGTTAAATGTCATGATACCTTCTTGTTACCCCTCACTGTATAAAAAGAGCTTGATTATCTATAAACCAGTACTCAACCTCAAGACACATTTTCATAAATTTAATTTCCTCTTATTATGGGCCTTCATATTCTCGAGTTCCTTGTCCAAAGTATTCTTGAGGAAAATGCATCGATATAGTGAGCGAGACAAATTATAAGAAATAACCTGAGGGCTCCCACTTACGCACTATATACACGGAAATTTTCACCCCTTTCACCCTAACCTCACTTGGGCGAATTTAAAATGGGACGAATTCAAAGAATACAGTACAATTTCTTAAACAAAACTATGACTGGGTGAAATCAAAATGGGGCAAAATTATTTGTAAATGTGAAAGGGCAAAATAACACCGGGCAAAAATAACCCCATATACATTATATAGCCTTGTATAGAAACTAAAACAATAGTTGGTGTTAAATTATTTTATTATTCAATTTATTACAGTTTGACATGTACATTTAGTTAAGATTCTGGTTACTTTGCTTTCTCTCTCTCTCTAAAGGCTCTTTATCATAGCAATGGAACACAGTATGAATTATCCAACAGTAAAGGCAGTACCACAGTATGAACTATCTAGCAGTGAAAAATACCACAGTATGAATTATCTAATAGCTATAGAAATACAACAGCATAAATTGACAAACAGTAAAAGGTACCACAGTATAAATTACCTAAATTTGGAAGATATCAAAGTATGGATTATCTTGCTGTAGATTAAAGCATTAAAGTATGAATTACCTGACTGTGAAATGTACCACAGTACAAATTATCTAACTTTGGATTGGGAAAGTACCAAAGTATGAATTACCTAATTTGAAAGTATCAAAGAACGAATTATCCAACTTTGGAAGTCTCAAAAATAAAAATCATCTAATTGTGGAAGGTATCACAGTATGAATTATCTTACAGTGAAAGGTTTCAAAGTATGAATTATCTAACTGTAGAAGGTATTAAAGTATGAATTATCTACCTGTAGAAGGTATCAAAGTATGAATTATCCAGCTTTGGAAGGTATCAAAGTATGTATTATCCAACTTTGGAAGGTATCAAAGTGTGAATTATCTAGCTGTGGAAGGTGCCATATTATAAATTATCTACATATTATGTAACTGTTGATGGTATCAAAGTATGAGTTACCAAACTGTGAAAGGTAATTATGCTACTGTAGTGCAATACAATTGTAGTAGACCTGTGCAATATTCTTATAGTACACTTATATTCATAGTACCCTACTATTGAAGTAAAAAAGAGTCTCTCTCTCTCTGTGATCATTAAAATGATCTTTATTTAAAGGTTGGCTCATCTCAGTACAATAATAAAACAAATCTGATAATAATACATAGGAATTTTCATAAATGATATTTAGGTTTGATAATCTGTGAACATTCTTAATGTTCTAATCTACTGGTGCTTATAGATATATATATATCTCATATATGTAACACATTGATCACTTCACATATTCATATATTTACTATAACGAAATTAAGATATTTAGGCCATGTCAGATTAACATGAATGTCAGATTAATCCCAATCTGACAGAATCTATTGCCAATGATTCCACTAAACTTGATATAGATACTTGGAAACTGTATTTCAACTCTCCCCCTTAAGCTACTTGCCTAAAGGTCATCTTTTCGAAGTATCACATCTTTTAGCGAACGAATATTGTCAGCTATTAGCCTAATAAGATTGATCTTTTCAAAACTTTTCTTGTCAACTAATTTTCAGGTGTTTCTTTGTTATTTTTGTCAATCATATTGATTAGTTGACCCTAATTAATTGTCAGTAATAATAGAGTAACACTACCCTGGCAGACAAACTTATTTTGCTGGAGCCTGATAGTTTGTTTCTTGTCTGTTACTTATTCACTTTTGGGTCATTTTCTTGTGAAAAGATCAACTGTTCTTCAATTACTAGCCCTCTTTTTGGCTGTCAGTTATTTTAAACTATCACTAGAATAACAATAATTGTCAATTTGTTAACTAATGCACACCTTTCATACATAATAAATAGTTATACAACAAAAAATCAGTGCTTTAAGATGCTCATGACATAGAAATTCTTTAAGCATTTGAGAATTAAAACAAATAAAAAAACATTCTCTCCTGGAGAGTTTATGATGAATAATGAATCCATTACGTATTGAGTAATATTCTGCTAAAACTGATAAGCATGGTTTTAATATAAAAATTGAACACAAAATATTATCTTATTAAACATTTTTAAAAAAACATTCATGAACACTTAAAAAAAGTACATGTAAAACTATCACAAGAAAATAATTAAGAAAATATCAAACAAATTAATCAGAAAAGAACCCTGACAATTCTTGTTAACAAATATTATAGATATTGGTTCCTTGCTTACTGGCCTTGTTTATTCAGAAAATATCACCCATTTTTGTTCCAGGTTTTATACTTTAGTGCTCAATACTTTAAAATGTATTTCTACATTTCTGGGGGCAAAAATATATAATGTATACATGTATATATATCCTTTTAAAAGAAGGGCATGTTCAGAACTGTTGTTTTATCTATTTTTCACAAAAAATACAAGTGACTTTTGGAATGCCAAACTAAAAAGTTTAGCAACATTTTTATAGTACATCTTACAAGTTTTAATGGTTGTAATTTATGGTTTTATAAAAAAAGATGTTGTGATAAAAAAATCTGGTTATAAGAAATGCTTCAAAAAGATCTCATTTCTGCTTTAGTTTCTAAATAGTAAGTTAAAAAAAAAGTAAAACTTTGACGAAGCAAGAAATGTCTCTAAAAACTTGCTGTAAAAAAAAATTCCTAGTGTAGCAAATACACAAATGGAGCACGATACATTTATAAAAATCACATACATCTACATGATATTTCATCCTTTCAATAGGTCTGATTAAAATAAAATAAAGATTGAGTAAATTTAAATGCAGGTTTTAGTTTTCCCCACCCTAAATTAAATCCACATTTTCACAATTTCTTTTATATAAATCATAATAATTGCAAGTGAACAATTTTTTTTTAAGTCTTTCAATGCTCTATGAGCCATTTTTGCTTTTGATAGTAAGACAGATTCAATGAGAGTAAAATGTTAACCTTTTGTTAAATGGCATAAAAAAATGATATTTTCAAACAAGTTACAACCTATCAGAACAACAAATTATGTTTTATTACAAATGATATATATTAACTAGGTATATTGTGCAGACTTGCATTGTACATGTATGCTTCTTGACTACTTGGTATATATGTCATGAAAGAAAACATATAAACATGGATAAATTTTTCATTTTGAAAATCAATTCTGAATTTCATCCATACCGCCTTTGTGATCCATATTAAATTTGCAACAAAAAGTTGACAAAACCTCAAAATGAAACTAATTTGGTTTATTGACCAAAATTAAAAAAAAAATCCTGTCATGTCAAAAAAAACAATTAATACAAGTACAAATTTAGACGTTATCAAATCAGCAAATCTATTGCAGTGTAAAAACAACCTTTTATACATTTGAAACAATTCCTATGGGTATATAGCACTTGCATTCTTAAAATATATCAATAGGAGACATTCATTCATTGTAGACATACATTGATTAATCTTAACGAAGGGAAATAAAATTCATTGAAGTTACTCAACCTACATTACAAACCTTACGTTTTTACATGTCATATAATGAACAGGTTAGCAAGTCATATAATAAGATGCCACAGGCACAAATTTTAAATTCCTATTGAAAAAAAAAATATTTTATATTCTATGAATCTGATTCATATAAATTATAAGAGTAAGTTATGTTCTTTGTATGAACAATCTTAAGCTCCAAAATTTGAAAAAACTGTCACATTTCCTTAAAGAAAAACAACTAAGAAAGCATTCAAACAAGTATTTTTTTGCTGGTAAAATTCATCAATGTCAAACGATAGCTTAAAAAAGTGTCATCATTTTATTTATTGTGTACTGATATTCAGTGACACATATTTACAAAGATTAGAAAATATGTCCCCAAAATATATTGGGACATGATAATATAAATGCTCATCAAGCATCCTTCAAAACCCTTTTTAACATTATAAATACAGGTGACATATTGTGAATATACTCAACACATATATACTCCTATGTTTCATCTAGTTGTCCTGAGGTTTTGGTTCCCTTGATGCTTTGATCACGAGCTCCATGTCGTATCAAAACTCATAACACTATTATGACTCTGGGCCAGGCTCATTTTACTGCCATGGTAAGAGAACTTCTCGAAGTACGGCATGTTTTCCATTTCGGTCATGTCTTCGTCGATGCGATCAAGGGAGTAGCTGGAGGCCTCGTACTCCGGCATCGCAGGCGCCTGGGGCGGGGTTAGTTCCACGGACTCCCCGGTAAAGGTGTCGTCAAAATACCTGGTGTCAGTTTCAGAGGTCACCTGAGGCTTGAAGGGTGGCGGAATCTGAGAGAGGAGAACAGAACATGCTGAGGAACACAAAAGACAGAATTCTCCTTTGGCATGGTGCACTGCTCGCTAGCGACCCGCTATAACCTCACTACAGTTATCTGCCCCTGAACGTCATTCCATTATTTTTTTAATATATGTCTTGATGATTGTTAAAAATGCAATGCGAAAATGAGGGTTAAAATAAATATAGATAAACTCATGCCAAGCTTAAGAAAAATTCTGTCAACTGAAGATAGGAAGATTAAAATAAAATAGGGGAAGCAATGTTAAGCTGAAATGATAAAGCTGTTTTTGTTGTCATCAATCTTTTTTTTTTTTAAATTTTCATACAAATTATGCACAGACAACATCAAGAGAAAGGGATTAAATGCTCAGAAAGGATGAATGCAGAAACTAAAGAATATGTTATCTGGCCTCTTTGTGACCTCTGAACTGACAGGGGTACAAACCGCGATTGGTCAGCATGGTCGCTATTGAGAAGTCCAACAGACCACGTACATTTCTTTTAAATGATAGCTGAACAAGTAACACATGTAACAAAACAATAACCATACGATAACCATGAAAATATTTTCAGGGAGACAAAAGACAAAATACACTGTTTAAATCAGAATTTAAATGAGAAACAGCATTTTTAAAATAAAACTGTTTTTTTTATATAAAAATAAATCTTTATGTTAAATTAAAAGTTAAAATATAAAATCAGCAACCTTAATGGATTTGTCTTGAATAAACCATGATATAAACTTATTACACTACAGTGACTCCTTTTTAAATGTTATATCTAATGATGCAGTTATTTTCTCTAATAAAAGTTGAAGATATTTTAATGAGCTATAAAAAAAATTCCAAACCTGCCATCCAGATTATAGTTTCTAATGAAAAGCCCCCTCCTCATAGCCATACCACCAAAGTTATTTATGATATATCACATAGGTAAGAATTTTATGGATAATTCACCTGTGTACATGTATAACTGATATATCATCTGTGTACATATATTAATGATATATCAACCCATGTATAACTGATATATCACCATATAAGTGTATGATTGATAATTCCCCTATGTATGTGTGTTACTGATATATCATCTACGAGTTTGTATCACTGATACATCACCTATACTTATGTTTTACTGATATATCACTGATACTTGTTTATTACTGATATCTCATCTATGTACGTGTATTACTTATACATCACCTCTGTATGTGAATTACTGATATATGACCTTGGTATGTGTATTACTGATATATTACCTACACATATGTATTACTGATATATTACCTTTGTACACATATCATCACCTGAAATATCACCTATATTTGTGTATTACTGACCTTCTTTTCTACCAGATCCTGCCAGTTGATACTTTTGAAGAACGGGTGAACCCTAATCACATTCACGTCATCCTCTGTTCCTCCCAGCCTAAAAAAAAAAACAGCAGAAATCTGTAGTCATACAGAGATACAAGTCTCCATACGATTGACCAAAGCCCTCTTACCTTGAAACTATTGAGATAAGAAGTCTTAAACATGTCAATCCTAACAGAGACAAATGAATTTATTTTTTAGACAATTTAAGAAAAATTGTTGTGGTTAAAAGTCCATCTTTTATGGCCAAAAAATATATACAAATTAAAAAAAAAATTTAATATGTTCGTGAGAATTCACCTTATATTTAGAGGTCTATGACAGAAACTGTTATCACTAGAATTGCTCATTCGAGAACAAAATTCTCTTTGCTCTACAAGATAAGTGACCACTGTCCACTCTACAAGCACAGAGGAACTGACCTTTGTTTGGGGTCCTTGACCAGCAGGCCCGACAACAAAGAGGTAGCGTCTTCCGACAACGTGCGAGGAAATTTGACTTGTTGTAGCAAAATAAGTTCAAACAAAATGTCATGATCACGATTATAAAAGGGCAGTCTTCCACACATCATTTCATACATCACAACTCCCGTCCCCCACCAGTCCACCGCTCGGCCGTAGTCATTGTCCTCAAGCACCTGTCAAAGGGGAATCATTCAGGGTTAATATTTTCTTCAATCGGATTAAAATCAGATCTTTGGTACGCTCCGAAATTCTGAAAGTCACTATCAGAATTTCTGTGCGTAACAGAGATCTGATTTTAATCATATTGTATTTTCTTGTATTTCAATTATTGCAAAAGCCTTGTTAACGATTTATTCATTAATCACCAAAAAAAGGTATCTATCACAAAAAAATTTCATTTATTTTGAACCTATGATTGATGTGACATATTAGACATCAATTAAAATCACTAATAATACAAATAAATCAGAACTACCTGTACAAAGTCTAATACATCTTTTTTTTCATAAAAACATTTTACAAACTGAATTGATTTCCAATTTTGATTCTATCTTACAAAACAAAGTGTAACTATATGTGACAGTTTATACCTCTGGGGCTAGATACTCTGGAGTTCCGCAGAAGGTCTTGGTACTAGCACCGTAATACATCTCCTCTTTACACAGACCAAAGTCTGCTATCTTAATATGCCCATCCTTATCCAATAATAAGTTCTCCAACTACAACAGACGAAAGGATTTCCTACACGCATGTCTGTCTCTAGTTCAGCAGCTATCTTACAGCTTTTAACTTATATGAAATTTAATGTGGAAAAATTGTTTACTATCAAATTAATAAATTCATACAGCATTAATTATGAAGATTTCATTGAAGTAAATAACCTATACTCTACAAAAAAGATGACATCTGCAGCACATATTAAACACAGATAAAAACATATTAACAGCCATGAAAGACACTCAATATAATCTTTTAGAGAATTATTGTAATCTACACTTAAATAACAAACCTCATTAGCATATGTATGTAAAAATTTACCTTGAGATCTCTATAAACGATATTATTTTCATGTAAATATCCCAGCGCTGAAATAATTTCAGCACCGTAGAACCGTGTGCGGTCCTCGCTGAATATTCGTTCTCGTGATAAATGAAAGAAGAGTTCTCCCCCATTGACGTACTCCATAACAAAACAGAGTCTGTCGGGCGTTTGGAAAGAGTACTTCAGTTGCTGGAAACAGATAAGAGCATATCAGAAAAATAATTCAGCAAGAAACTTACAAAGGAATATAGTCTTTAAACGGGGATAAGTCAATAAAAATTTTAATCTTAACTTCTAAATAATTTTATTTTTCTTTATCATTAGGAAAACTCTCAATTAGTAAATAAATGGTCAATTTATGATGGTAATTATGATGGTAACTTTCCAAAGTGATCCAGACAAACACAAATTGTTGACATACATAAGTGAAAGCATAAAAGTTTTTTTTTTTTTAATGTTCTACCAGGTATATGTAACACAGAAGTCTAAGAGCCTTACTGTTAAAAATGGATGTTTTGTGGTCTGTAAAACTCTATTTTCTGTTAGGGTGTGAGCCACTTCATCCTAGACAAATAAAACAGACAAAATCAATAAAACAAAGAGAATATGGATTGATAATAAATTTTTTACATTTCTAGGATTGTGATGAGTTACAACTGAAACTTCATTATCTCAAACATCGAGATCTCTAATAGCATTGATTTACAGAAGTGAGTTTAGAGGAGTCCGAACAACTTTATTAAATGCATTTTAAACACAGTATCTAGAATCAGTGAAAATCTCTAGGTTTTTCTCAGCCCCATTGAGTTTGAGACATTGTAAACCAAATTTTATTTGCTTGCAAGAAATATCCATAAGTTTTGCAACCTACTTTAACTCGAAAATATTAATTGCTGCATATCATTTATTTTGCCTCTTATTTTTAGAGAATAATTCTTCTATCAGGAAAAGTAATCGTCGCAGATTGACTTCAAACTAACAAGTCGCAAATAAAAGATGAGGCGAGTAATAGTTGGTTTACAGTAACAAGGTTTGACCTCTTACCTTGGCTATGATGACCTGCTTTTTGAGGATCTTGATGGCGTACAGATGGTTGGTTGTCTTTTCCTTACATAGAATGACCTTCCCAAATGTACCTTTCCCCAGAACTTTGAGGAATTCAAAGTCATCTAATGACTACAAGAAAACACAAGTATTGTAAGTATGTGTATGTTTACTGTAGACATACTTTTTTCTATGGGGTCATAATTCCGTGGAATCTCAATTTCTGTTTGATCCGCGGGTAGAAAATTACGCTGATTTTTTAGACTGTCACAATATGCCTTACATTTATGTAAAGTACGCTTGGACAAATTTCAGCGGAAAACTTTTGACCGCGTACATAGTGTAAATTAATACCAAGCGGAAAAAGGTACTTACGCAGTATTAGAAATAATCAGATAAATACTGAGTATTCTTTTAATCATTTCTACCATTCATTTGCTTAAAAAAAATTTTTAATTCTTTTTTCTACCTTCTGTTTGTTTTCAAATAAGTACATTAATTAATACAACTTTTTTTTATGTCTACCAGATAAGATCAGTTGTTACACGTTATAATGATCTTGTTGTTTATTATATATTTTTGTTATATAACACTGGCTTTTTGCATCCCTGATATGAATACAGGCACGTGCCCTGTATTACACACCATGTATCATCACCCCTTATCACACCCTTTATTACACCTTTCCGGAACATTTCTTTTCATACGGAGTACCTCAGATCTTTTTACTATATCATATTCAATATGTTGTTTTCATTTGAACACACAAGGAGCCTAATAACTGAAGTCACATGAGCATTAAATGACGTCACAATGTAAACTACTTTCAAATTTAAAATAAAAACAACAATACATGACAAAATCTGTATCACAAGCCTTTGGCCTTGGGCTGACATTAGTCTCGGGTTGATATGGGGTGTGCTACAGGTTTTGCCATGTATTATTCTCTATTTATCATTGAACAGATATCAATATTTACTACCTTCTGTTTTGTTTAACTAACAACATCATTATATCAGGGAATCCCATTACTGTAAAATCACATATTTTTGTAGAAGTAAAATTTTCGTGGTTTGAGGAACAGCTATGGGTTCAAGGGGGATTAGATTTCATGGTTGAAGAATTGTTTAGTAGTTACGCTATCTAAATTTAATTCCCTGGTTCTCAGGCCAATTTTCTCCAAAACAGATGCGGGACGGCGGCATTTTATTTTTCATTTTATTGACAATAAAGTAGATGAGGGAGGTTTTTTTTTTCATTTTAATTTCCAAATTTTCTTTAACATAAAGATAATGTTTTTAATCACAGATATACTTTCCATTTCTGGTCAAAATTTCTGCTTTATCCATTGCTTAACAGCGTGTAAACATCATAGGTAATGTCCTCGAATGTATTTTCAAACGAAGTAGCCAAAATCTCATTGTAAATGGCTACCGGAAGTGATATTTGAATACTAAACTACGAAACAAATGAGGTCGGAATTTTTTTTTCCCGGATTGGTCTCCGCAATACCAACTTTTTATTTTATCAAAAATACAATAAAATCGGCAATGCGGCTACCTCAAAACAGATGCGCGCGGGCCTGAGAACCAAGATTTCAATTCTATATGGCCTTATGCATATGACTTTCAACATTTTGTAGTGGACATGAATTTTTCGGTCTCTTCATACATTGAAAACAACGAAAATTAAATCCTAACAAAAATGAGTGATTTTACAGTATCTATTTAACCCCAACATAATCTCATAACTATTCACTTTCTAACTGTATACCAAATGATTTCAGAATTTAATTACCACTTTCTTTTTCTCCTTTTCCAGCAGCCCTCCCTCTTCTTCTGTGACCTTGAGATTTTCGGCCACAGAGCGAATGGCTGCGATCCAGTCCTCTCGTTCCTCGTTACTCTCCACATAAAACATTCTCTCCACGACCACTGTCCATTGCAGACCTCGTATAATGAACGTATTAGGCTTGGGCTTCTCTTGTTTCATTAGCTGGCAGTCTGCAAAACAATTAAATGGTCAGTTTTTCTTACCTCTTGAAGTATTATTGTAATTTTATCATTTAAATCATTAAGATCATTTAAAATCATTTACTATTGTCTCTAACAAGGTAAAGTTGATATTTCACATCTTTAAAAACACTGATGTTGCAAATTTTGTGACACTTGAAGAGAGATGAAATTTTTGAAATATGTTTACAATTTTTTCTTTATGCATTTTAGCAACAAAACCTCAAAATCTAAGATATTTTTCCTTATCCCCATTGAGTTTGAGATAACTTTAAGGAAGTCCAAACATTTGCATTACTTGCATTTGTATCATTATAAATAGATTTTTGTGATCCAATGTCATCATTTTTCTAATGATTACCCAGTGAATCTTGTTTCTATTTTTAGACTGACCTCGAACAGTGAAGTCGTTGAGGGGATCCCCCAATCCATGTTCAGGCTTGGCTCTGTATCCCAGGAAAGACCCGTCCTGTCGTAAAATAAAATATCTCTTCCTCCAGTTCTTTATGTGCTCTCCTACAAATGAATATTTGTACAAATGTTACATCAAATCCGATAATTCTGTAAGTCATATAAAATTATATAAACATATAAGATGAATTCACTGACTGTAAAAACCATGGAAGCCTTAGGAGAATTGGAAGATAAAAACAAAGGAAATCTCAAAAATTTCTTGGAATGACTGAATCATTTTAATTGCATGATATTTACCATATTATTTACCGGGAATTAAAGTTTTGTTTCCCTTTATAGAAACTGAACAACTTAAAAGTTTAAAGATCACACACTGACAGAGTAATCATACTTTAAATAATCTGAAATAAGTTTAAATTGTATTTCAATCACACTGCTACTTAACCCCCCTTGTTTACATAGGAAGACATTCTAAGTTTCTAAGATATGTAATAACTAATAAAATTGCAAATGTACTTGAGCATGCTGAGAAAACAGAAAAAAGCATCATTAATTTCCTTGTGTTTCTGGTCAATGCAAGATTTAACACTATTAATCAATTGATGTAGCTGATATGTATACATAAAGATACTGGCACTGAGGGCCACAGTGCATGTGATATGACATTGTGCAAAGGAAGCAATTACTAACAAAGCAAACCATGAACTTATCTAATTTCTTTTTAACCCTTTCTCTTCCGGCACATTTTAGGTGATTTTGGATACCTTTTGATATGACATTATTAAATTATTTCAAACTTTTTTATTCAAGGAGAAAGCTAGGTATATTGCATACCATTTTGTAGGGAATGTCTTAGAGATGATATTTTATGACTATTCAGATACTCAACAACTGACCTTATTAGTAAAAATGGAGGTCAAAGGTCAATTAAGTGCAAAATTTTATGGAATTTTTTGATACTTTTTAATCTTCAAGCTAATTATTTACTATGATGTATGTTGAAATAGGAAATTTTGGATATACTCACAAAAGAGCATGATACTGTACTACATGGAACACATAAACTTTTTTTTCAATTCTGCAAATAACTACTTAAAAGCGGTTGCTTAGCAACCCAGAATTTCTTAATTTTCGGGCAAGAATTATCATTGATTACTCATCCTATACACATTTATGCATCCCAGCACATATAAAAGTTAGATGTGAGGTCATAAAATTACTAGGGACGAACAGCAGATAAATTGTCTTAAAGTTTGACCTCATTAGAACTATTTTTAGGAGGTCAAAGGTCAAATAAGTGCAAAAGTTTCATCAATTTTTTTCAACACTTTTCAATATTCTTGCCATAATTTTACACAATGGATGCTGAAATGGAAAATTCTGAATATACTCTCAAGAAGGGATCAGAACTGCAATATCCATGCATCATTTTAGTTTAAATATCTGTTTAATGGCCTTTAAGTGGTTGCTAAGCAACATCATTTTAAAGTTTTTGGCTATATACATGTTTGTTATTTCACATTCTGGACACATTCTAGACACTTTTTGTATATTTCATGATATTGTATGTAAGATATGGGCCATAAAGATAAAAGAACATTTTTGTTTTAAAAATTGACCTTGACACTCTTGTTCTTCAGGGGGTCAAGGTCATATCAGTACAGAATTCTGCTTTAAACTGTAAGTAAATATCAATTTTGAAATGCTTCAAACATGGATAAATCATCTAATAGATGACGTAATAAAAATTGCAAACAACAAAATTTGCAAGCAAAGAATTCTGGTTTGCTTCTTAAAAACCCCCTAGCAAAACATGTATACAATCTTTTTGTTAAACAAGAAATCCATTCTCTTGATGCCATTAAAAATAATCTTTATTTTCATGGATTTAATCTAACAAGAAAAAAAACTAAATGATTTCATTACAAGATTTTTCTGGTATAACAGAGCTTAAGGGGTACAGTAAAGACTTGACATGTTATCTTGGAGGGAAATAATAATAATAGATAGCATTATCAATATTTAACGCAAAACTGTTTAGTCAAAGTTGAAAATGTGACGCTTATATCCAAATATACAAATCTAGAAATGAACCTTCAACAAAATGTTGAAGAGCACTTTTACTTTGTGTCCACCATTCTTTTATCAACTGTCATTTCTCTGTAAGACTGGAGGAAATTCTTTGACTTGTCCAAGACATTATTATTTGCTGTCAAGTACAAGTGATCAGCTTCTATCCTGTAAAAGATTTAAATATTTTGAAACAGATACATGTCATTGTGTATATAGATTTACATTTATAAATAAAATTAAGAATGCTAAAATTACTACATTTATTTGATTTTCCTTTTAAAATTAAAATTGTATTTATTATGTGATTCAAGTAGTTAAATGATATTGTTAAGTCAATGTATCAGGACTGATAATTCAACAACCTTGTAGTAAACCATCATGGTAAAATTACTGAACTAAAACAAATAGCATATATGGCAATCTGACTAAAGCCAGACCTCTGTTTAGGCTATCGCAACATGTAAAAAAATCTGGCATTAGATTGCTACGAAAGCCAAGAAGGGACATGTAAATTTTTCAAAAAAGTAAAAAATGAGATCGAATCGAATAAGACAATCCAATCCCACGGATTACTAAATCGTTCCCTCGATTTATAATATGAGATCTCGAATTACACAATCCGGCCCGATCTTAAGGATTACTAATTTTTGTTGTACAAATATCAGTACTAGCACATGGATTTGAAAATGTTCATGTATTTTTCTCATTTTGGACCGTAATATGTAATAAAAGTTAGGATGTAAAATACTACAATATTCTATTTTTTAAACATGTACAGTAAAACTCGGTTATAGCGAAGTCACTGGGACCTATGTAATTACTTCGTTATATCCATAATTCGTTATATCCGTATAAGGAATTTGTTTAATTTATATAGCTGGGGATCCAAGATAACTTCACTGTATCCGTGAATTCGCAATATCCGTGTTCATACTAAACCAGTTTTACTGTATTACCATATCCGATAAATACAGATAAATAATTTAAATGAAATCATGGGAAGGGTTTACATTCCGAGAGAATGAGTCATTTAAACTAAGAGAATGAATTATACAATCTGAGATAACGGATGGTGTAATTTGAGGGAACGAATTGATAATCTGTGAGAATGAATAGGCAATTTGTTATAACAGATTGTCAATCCAAGAGAACGGATTGTATAAATCAAGAACTTGGTTTACTTTTATAAATTTTTAAAAATTCTACGTCCCTTCATGGCCTTCATAGATTGCATACCTGCATGGCTGCCAGGGTTGTAAAAAGAAAGGAGACAATAGACTGCAAATGTTACTTCAGGGCAAAATTCCTGGCGCAAGGCTGTTCGTGAGCATGGGAGTGTTGATAAACCATCCAGTGAGTTTGACCACCCATGTATATGATGTATGATAATTGGAAAGTGTCTGAAAAATTGAGAAAATGGAAATTCTAACCACATACTTTATGCAGATTGGAAATACAACAGCAGTCTATAAAAACAGCTTGTTCCATATCTCGGCATTCATTCAAATAGAATAGATATTACATGTTTAAATAATGTGTCTGTATGAATAATCAAGCATCATAAGTACTATGTGTTTCAAACACTTATTTTTCAAAATATAAATCAAATGTGTATAAACTTGTATGAATGCAATATCATGAGAATGACACAAATGAAATTAGACTTTATTTTTTGAAATTTTAGAAATACAGAAATTTTCAATACCAAAACAAAAATTTACCTGTTCATTGGTGTCCTTACATATCGATTGATCTTCGTAGTTCCTGGTGGGCTTAGAAAGTGGGTATTCACAGATGAAAGTATTGTTGCATATGGTGAAAGCACCCTAAAAATTCAATGTGAAAGTGGTACATGTACACACTGGTACATACATACTGAAAACAACTATCCATTATTATGACAACTTTGATTTTACTTTGAACTTACGAGTGATTGTCAAAAGCATCGAAGTTCAAAAGCAACACAAAGTTGGCTGAACAATACGAAATACGCACACTGAAACATAAAGATCTAGTACATGTGTACATTTAGTTTTCTTTTGAACGTGAACTAATGCGTTTTAAACTTAAACTTTTCATTCAATATACACGTATTCTCACCTGCTAATACCAAAGGCATGTCCGTATTATTTGATTCATTGATGTGATGATCTTCGTCGTGAAATAATCATGAAAATTGACGTTCAGATTTCGGATGATGTTGTTGTTTACTGCCACAGCGGAAACACGTGGTTATTTCAATTCGTATCAACTCATACAGTGATGAGTCGTATTTATTTATAAATGCGAGTTTTTGTATTATTAAATTTCGCACCAATATAGATCCAATTAAATTGCAAATTAAGTATACAGTATAACAAGATACAACATTATTAAAAATCTGATTGATTTTTTTTTTTTAGTAAAGATCGACGTTTTGGGAATCTACAATTTTTTTGGTCAACATTGTATATCACTACATGAAATATACATCATTACATGTAGATGAATAAATTAACATTCACTTCACAAAAGGCAGAACGATAGTATGTATCTGTTTTTTGAAATCTATTTTTTTTTATTATGCATTTATTTCAGTAAAAAATATATTTAAATGGTCAAAAAGTCTTATAAAAGAATTTGTTGTTTCGAGTAAGACGCAACATTATCGACCTTGACGTTACATGTAAATATTGACCGATTTTTCCATAAAAACTATGCGAAGGTCACAAATTCAAATTACCGTAATTAAGAAAATACTGAGCGTAAGAAAGCCTGTAAGGGCTTGTTGGAAAGGAATTTTTCTCTACTTTTACCAGCTTTATTTTGTTTTCCCTATTTTAACACAGAAATAAACGTAAAACTGAGCTTTGTTTAAACATTACGAATAAAATCGAGAAAAAACACATAAGTGCAAGAAAATTCTTGTTTTTAAAATATACCTTAATTTAATAACAATAATTTTTACATATTTTAAAAGTAGAGAAAATATGCTTTAAGAATATACCATGCTTTCTTTATAAAGTTAATCAGGAAAAAATTGTCAATCGTCTGGAAAATCGGCAATTGCTTTGGAAAATTACGCCATTTTCAAAAAGTCACGTTTGTCTTTACAACGTAAAATCGAATAAATACCGGCAATCAAGATATAATCTTTTTAGATATTTTAAAAGTAGAGAAAATTTCCAAAAAGATGATATATAGCTTATATACCTTCATGCTACCACAAAATAGATACGGAGATCTTATTTTCGCGAAGTCGTGTTTTAACGCGCCACCGGTCAATTTGACCGGTACGGAAGTGAAGGGGTTAAAAATCTCAGTAAGACTAAGTATAATTTCTAAACCCATAAAAAATGAGTTTATATTTATTGATATAAAAACATTCCTGAGATAAAATGAAAAATTTTAAATACAACTGATTTTTTAAATGTAAAATTTGAAGCATACATTTAAATGTACAACCAGGTTACCTCCCACCCCCACTCCCCACACACAAACCCAATAATAATAAGATAATGTGAATTCCCAAAAATTCTGAAGACTAGCTACCATAGCTCTCTTTTCTCATTTATCCAACCAACTCTGACCATAAGTTCAAAATAGTATGTATATATCATATACGATAAGTCATATGTACTGTTAAAATGTGATAACTATCCAGATAGGGTCATTAGCAAGTTTTCTGTGATTATGAAATCTCCAACACATTTATTATTATCATATAAAATCAATATACACGTATAGAAAAAGCTGCTCATTAAGCTCTTGCACACGATCAAGTCACAACTATCAAACAAAAACACAAGAAGAGCTTACTGTCTTTTTTATAATTAATCATGTTAATAGTGTTCGAAAATTAATATTTTCAAATGTTGATTATTTTTCAGTTGCATAATACTCTTCAACTTGTTGCCACTACTGTTTACAGAAAAATGTTTGCCTCTGTTTTATTTTTTTGTCCCTTTGCCCTAGACACAAGTGGGTGAATTTAACAACAAGTCAAATTCGAAGAAAACAGTATAATTTCTTAGATTTAACCATGAAAAGGCAAATAAACTGTTTTCAAGTGTGAAAGGGCGAAAATAACTCAAAAGTCCATGTTTACAGTACATGTATTAAAAATTCCTTTTTTATTTAAAATGATAGTAGCTATTTATCTTTCTGAACACAGTCCCCATTTAATATAATAAATGTGACAGGATCATGAAGAAGAAAGAGGATTTTTAAATTTTTTTTTAACAAAAACTTTCAAAAATTTTAGAATACACTTAGTTTCTTCATCATGTTCATTCAAGACAACCTGTGACTCCAATATATTATATATAAATATGCTTTTCATATCTGCCACACCAAATATATTCAAGCTCAGGAACTAATTTAGATAAACACCCATAAATAACACCAAATATGAAAATCTCCAGTGCAAAACACTCTCTTGATACAAGGCTGATTATATATCTTTACGATGTTGAGCATTGTTTACGAAAAAAAACCATGGGAGAAAAACTTCAGAGCACTTACACTTCTGTAACTTACACAATTAGGAAGTTATTTGTACAAAAAACCCCACAGTTTTTTTGTTAAGTGCACATAATTGTTGTTTCTCTGCTTTATGAGATGCTTATAAGTGTTTTTTTTAAATGTGAATAAAAATGATAAACACATTACGTTCAATGACCCTCATTATTCCTTTCTTTCTTGTGAATCTATAATCTCTTCTGTGTACATAACTATTCCTTTTACTAATTTATAAAATACCAGAAGTATCTCATTTATTAATTAATGTTATTTTTTCCTAGCATGGAAATTATTTTTGAAATTACTCTTAAAAATTACAACATCCATAATATATTCAATTGCAAAAAAGCAAAGGCTTTAAAGATGATCTGAAAGATGAAGCTCTACCCCTGTCCTTAATGATTACATGTACTTGAAAATTATCAAGAAAAATGAAGTTTTACCAAATGACACATTTTCATATTTATAGATACATACTTGCTGAAGTCTAATGGTCTTTAACCCCTTTCCCATAAAAAAGGATGTTGAAATCATTGAGAACACATTCAAGTTTTACCCCCACCCCCACTCCCTTTTTTTATTTACATATAAAGATGACAAAATGAGACTTGTTGTTGCTGTACCCCTTTCTCACAATGACAATGTGGAAATCCTTACTTCCACACCTCAATTTTCTGGATCCTTATCCCTTTCTCACATTGTACATGTGAAAATCCTCACTTCCACACCTCAATTTTCTAGATCCTTACCCCTTTTTCACATTATACATGTGAAAATCCTCACTTCCACACCTCAATTTTCTGGATCCTTACCCCTTTTCCATAGGTACCCCTCCTTGACCACAGGAATGGTGTCAGAGTTACTCATCTCACCTGCAACGTCTACCTGTCAACGATTTCTACAAAAAAAAAAAGAAATTAAAACTCTATTTTAATAACGCTTAGGTTTATTAAATTTCTAATGTACATGTAGACTTACATGTATTTACAAAGTGAATGTAGTCAATTACAACTGATACAATTCCATATTCATTGTCTCTTCTCACTTATATTTTATGTCAATATTTTATAGGATCATTTTCACTGTTTTTTAACAAAAGTACAGAGTACCTCACTGAAAAACTTATGCTGTATTGGTCGCGAAAATAATTTTTATAAGTTACCATAATCATGATAACTACTGCTGATTTCAAGGTGGTTAAAAGAAAAGTGAGAAACAAAAAAAAAAAACTGTTGTCATAACATGAAATGACCAAGTGTGAATGAAACAAGTACTATTTGCCAGTAATTGACTGCGGGGAATGCCATTAACATGATTTACATACATGTGTATTTGACATAAGCCACCGACCAGCATCAAAGATCATCACCCTTTCAGCATTTTGTTTTCCACACATGACAGTGGTCTGTCTATAGCTCTGGATCATAATTTACCAAGAGGCATTTTTGTTTTTCTGTTTATTTGGTTTTGTTTTTGTTTGCTAGTGATAGAGCAAAGCTGATCAAATTCCAGTGAATGATTTAACAAAAGATATACACATGGAGGTAAATAGATATGTTTATCCTAAAAACGACTTTTATTTCCTATTCTCTTTCTTAACACTGTTTCGTAACAGGAAATCAAAAAATTAATAGACCGCATTGAATTGTGAGAGAACAAGGAACCAGTACCAGTAAATTTCGTTACCAAGGGTGGAGAGATAGAACTATATTAGTCAACACTCTTAGAGCACCAATATAGACCAAGAATTTTAAACTCAAGTCATTTTATTGACAGGGACCAACAAACAAATCCTCTATAAAACAGTGAAAAATAAAAGTAGATGATGAGTTGTCATCACGTCTCACCTCCATAATGCTTCCTGTTAGAAATATTAGTGTCTGGAAAGTTGTAAATCAAGAGTACATGTTTTGTAGTAAACAGTTAAAATTCAAAAGTGAATTGAAGCAAGCTCTCTCCTGCTATGAATGGAAGCTCCTTCACTCCTTGGGGTCACACCAGGTCACATGCATTAGTACCTCAGACTGTTGTTAATAGTAGTTTATAAGTATGTTTGTACTGTGTTCCAGTTATTATCATGATTATATTACATGAGCACTAGTAAACAAAGACAGCCCACATTTTTTCCTGTTTACAACTTTGTTCAATGACACGTACTTGGATCAGGAAACTTAAAAGCTCATTGAGGCCACAATAACATTTCTACCGAGAGAGAGAGAACGAGCTTAGTTAGGATCAGGAAACTTAAGCTCATTGCTCATTAAGGCCACAATAACATTTCTACTGAGAGAACAGCTGGAGCTTGCCACTGGGAACAGAAGAGCATAATAAGGACAAAACAGTGGCTCTCTAAAAAGATATACAACAGCTAGTCTACAAAATTAAAATAAGACATTCGAAAAGAAGTCCCTGAAAGCTATAAGCTCTGAAATTAATAGTACTGTATACAGGGTTATTTTTGCCCTTTTTCACTTGTGAACAATTTAATTGGATGTTTGATCATTATTTGTATTCCAAAAAAAAAATAGCATAACAAATGCATCTAAAAAGAAATGGTTTCCTGCGAGTTTAATATATTTGTGCAATATTGAATTTTCAAAGTAAACATATGTCATGGTGTATGTAGTGCATAGTGAAATATTCATGTTCAAAATTTTATGTCTCTGAAATACTAATATTTAAATTCCTTCAAGATGTTTTCATTGTGCAGTGGTAAAAATGTCTACATGCTCTTAAATCACAAAGGAGCTGATCTTTGTGTTGCGGGTTTGAATCCACTGCAAGACATAGAGATATGTGCTCAGTTCTGATGAGACCATGTAAACCTAGGAGCCGTGTCACAGTAAATATTGGCATGAAAAAGATCCCTCACTGCTCAATATCTCTGAGTGCCAAGTATAAATTTTCAGCTTTCCACCGCCAAATGGTGACAAGCCCATGGGTGAAAAATTCTTGAGAGGGACATTTATTAAATAACAAATGAACAAAAAAAAAAAATTTAAAAAATTCCCAGTATGAAATAGTTCACATTAGCTCTCAAAAATTAATTAACTAAATTACAGAAAGGAAATGTATGGCAGTAAGGTGGGTTTGTTTGATGACGGCCAGACAGCTCATTTAGAAGAGCAGATGCTCTCGAGTTCATTGGTCTGGACTCTAGAGCTAAAATCCTGGTCAGGTTTGATATTTGTCACATTTTCTCTTTCCTTATTATAACAAACAACAATGGAATAAACGTAAAGAAATATCAAAGAAAGATAATTATACAAAATATCTTATCTTCCATAATAGCAAATTCTGTAAAAGTTTAGGTGTACACATGCATGTAAAGTAAGTAAATTACAACATTCAAGTTTTAATACATGCATGTAAAGTTTAATACTCCGGTCCCCAGAAAAATGTGCTAAAATGTAGTGTCGCTGAAGGTGACTTCAGTTTATATGAGATCAAGTGAGCATAGTTTAAAACTTTGCGGATCTTGGGACCAGTAAAGTAAAGACTACCTGAAGCTAAAAAATAACGTAGGAATTCAAGAACACTCTATATCATGAGCATGGTTTGCTTCAAAACTCTGTATGACTGTAAGAAACTACTGGATTGGGGTTTATACACTGCAATGAAGCGTGGTCCACACACAAAAGATATCACACTCTAACTCAAGGATACTGATCTGGCAATATTAGATTGACAATCCCAAACATACTAAAACACAAAACATGTGCCTTTTAAGTTTACACTGACGTTAGCTTGGGGACTGGGAATTTCCACATTCCATAGTTTATGTCTCATACATTAAATTAACACTAGGTCTACAATGAATATGAAACATAGTTCTAATATCTAGATAAATTAATGGTGGCCCAGGGTCTATTTTTATGATTTTTGATGAAAAGTCATGGGCCTATTCAATGAAATTACTTCAAATTAGCTCCTGGTTCAATTAAATCAACTTGTGTTTTTCATACTCTGTATCTAAACTGAACAACCAAAAAATTAAATATTTATAGGATAAGTAAAATAAATCAAATCTACAGTTTAAAAGTCAAAGTCTTAAGCAAGCATGGCCTTGGTTCATCATTTCACTAGTCAATGCCGAATACTGTCGTTAAGCGTAGATTATTGAACATCCCTGACCGTGAAACATAAATATATGAACTCTTTACCTCTGCATAGTAGTAAGACCTTGATGAATTTTGGTCTGATCCTAAAAAATAATTAAAAATTCTTTCTATTTCAATCTGTTGATCAATTCCCTCACGTCGCGTCGAATTCTCGTTCATTGACGAGATTATGCAAAGCCCGGATGTGTAGTTTTACTTTCGTTTTAAACACCCAGACGAAAAATGAAAGTAGACGAAATATTTATTGTTTCAGAACGTTCTGTGGTAATAGCACATAAAAGTTGTATCCTTTTAACTGTATATTTTAAACATGTTTTTAAGAAACATGCGTTTTGGTTTCATGTAGAATTGATTGATTTGAATCTACTGCATATGTCTATATATACTCGATTCCCATTATATCGCGGGTTTCATTGTATCGCGGTATATCGCAAAAATGTGGATACATAGCCTATATTCTTTTTGTTGATAGACAATATGAATGTTGTCTGAATGTTTAATTTTTTGATGATTAAGAAGTACGGAACATCCGTTTGAAAAAAAAATAAAACGAAATTTTCAGATTTCAAGTCCTGTTTTAATTATATTTAGACCATTAGAATTATAACCTCGTAAAAATTATAATAAAGTTCATCTCTTTAAGTCTTTAGTTTATACAATTGTTCACTTTTTCATGTAGAATTACATCGTAAATTCAAAAATAAAAATTGAGGTCTGTGTCATTTACAAGTTTCCATGTATTCCCATACCGCGATACAATGAGACTCTCCAATTTAGGAGGTAAATAAGACTTCCTGTTTTAAAAATAGACCACAAATTAAACGATGCAAGCTTGGAAAATAATTGGACACTGAAAAGTTAGGCCAAAGTTAGAATTATAATTATCATTTGATGTAAGTTAAAATAAAAAATTAGAAATGACTCTTTTTATGCAAAAGAATTAAGTACCGCGATATAATGAGACACCTGTATACTCAGTAAATGGACTATCGGTTCCATGGTCGTTCGCCCTAAAAATTGTTCGCCCGATATCTCGTTCGCCCAATTTCTTG